CTTGGAGAAGGAGAAGTTCCAACTCCTCAAGGAGAAGGACGACATGCTCCAGGCGCTTGAAGCGAAGGATGAGGAGCTGAAGCATGTGACTGCCGAGCTAGAGACGACGAAGGAGCGTCTTAGCAATGGAGCCCTATTGGAGGAATCGTTCAGGCAACATCCTGACTTTGATGGATTTGTCAAAGACTTATCTGACGCGGGCTTCAAGTTTCTCATGAAGGGCATTGCTTCCGACATGTTTGACCTTCAGATCGACCTCGGTGGTCTGAAGAAGAGGTATGTCGAGCAGTGGGCGTCTGGGCCTAGCGGCACCCCTGGCCCCCAAGCGTTGGTGGATAAATATGTCAGAGATCTAAACTCTGACTACTCCGATCTCGAAGAGGACCAGGTCGGCACCACTCAGGAGGGCACTCCTCAAACAGGCTCTTAGGCGATCACCCTTCATGAGGCCTTTCTCTATCTTTCTTCTCTTCTCTTTTTGTTTGTAACTGTCAGGGCAGAGCTGTAAGGTCTATAAGCCTTGGCTCTGCTCTCCATTCAATAAAGAAGCTCTCATTTGTTTTTACTTTGTTGCCTTCCTTTCTTTGCTTTTTCTTTAAGCTAAAGCCAATGTCACCTCGCACCTCGTACTTTTGAGGTCGCGCCTTCAATTAAAATACTTGAAATTTTGAATTCGAATCTCTGTCTAGTATTCAATGCATTGCACCAACTCTGGATTTTTGACATCGCACCCTTAACTTAAAAACGTTAAAAGGCTAAACTCCTAAGTCTGTAGCTGTTCTTCATATCGCACTTCGTACCTTCAGGTCCAGAGGCTTGATCATTTTGAACTTTTCACATCGCCCCTTTACCTTGAAGGTTTTGAATTTTAAGTTCATCAGTGGTTTTGGCATTGCACCTCGTACCCTTAGGTTTTGGAGGATTGAATTTTAACCGACTGCTGGAATGTGATCGTGTGGGAGTCCGTGGCCCCCATTTAATTTCTGGTCGAACTCAGAATCATGAAATTAAATCATCACATTTATTCCGATCATAATCCTATTGAAACAGGTTTTACAGATCCATTGAAAACCATTTTGGTATTTCAAGGATAATAACGCTTCAGGTGCTCCGCGTTCCATGGGTGCGCGAGGACGTCTCCTTTCAGATCGGCCAATATGTACGTCCCAGGTCGGACTATTCCCTTGACTTCAAACGGCCCCTCCCAGATCGGGTCCAGGGCACCCACGTGGGTTTGGACCTTCCTTAAGACCAG